CTCCTCTCCTCTCCTCTCCTCTCCTGTCCCTCACCTGTCTTCTCCTATCCTCTCTTAATTCGTCTACCACGTGGATTCCTTCTCCTTTCCTCTCCTCATCTCTGTTCTTCTCAAAAAAAAAAAAGTCTTCTCATTAACATACAAATCTGCCACTTAAGAAGACAGAACATTGAGGTTTTTAAAACAACCTTCTCTCTGAGGCCTCTTATTTGTGAGGAAGGAAGCATGCTAAGGTTTTACCTTTCCCTAAACCTGACAGATTACATTCTCCTTTTCAAAAACGGGATGAAATCTATTTCCAGAGAACCCTGATGGGTCCTTGCAGCTTCACTGAGTTTTCTCAACCTCTCTCCAAAAGGCACGTGGATCCAAAACAAGAAGCACGTTCGAAAGGCGGCACCTGCGCGAAATGAACTCACCCTCTGAAAAAGCAAAGACCCTGTCAGAGGGTCTCCACCTTTCCCTCAGGGTGTTTCTAAATCAGTTTTCACCCAACAAATAGGGTTACAGCCAAGGTCCCGGATTGTGTGATCGGTTTGTGAACAACGAAGCGAGGAAGAGAGGGGAAAGCAGGGAGGAAGAGGGCGACGTACGTGGTGGGGCGAGGAACCCATAACTCAGTTTCGCGTTATTTTTGTAAAATGAGCACTTCTGGACAGGACTGAGGGAAATTCGAAGATCCTGGTAAAAACAGGTGGAAAAGTCTTCTGTGGAGAAGCTGCCCTAAAGAGAAACGGGAAGGAAAGAGACCTCGATCAGACGCCAGGTACAGGGCTGCGAGGACTGCCTCACGAGCAAGTGAGGTGGCCACAGCACAAGGTGACTGTGCCCCGATGTCGCTTCCGTTCCTTCTCGCTTTTCTCTGTTCACTAGTCATCGTTTCTCCAACTCAAATGTAAGACGCTCTTGACAACACGGACGATATTACCCTTTGGTTTTATAGGTCTAGGTAAATTCTTTTCTATTTTGTGTAGAGTACAATGTTTTTGTCTATACACTGTATGCTTTTTTCACAGCCCCCCAAACCCTGATTTTCAGAGAAACGGGAGTCTCTTTCACTTCAACTGCAAAGTGGGAAACTGGGGAGGTGGGGGAGAGGGAGGAAGAACCCCTGGACAGCAATGTAAAATCTCAGGAAGAGTGAGGACTGTAAGTGTGTGCAGTTCTGTATAGGAAACGTAAATCCAAGTAGAA